TTTATAACTTATATCTTAGAACTACTTGAAATATAAATATATTAATTAATAAATAATTTTATTTTTCTAATTAATATTAAAAAATAATTTTATTATTGTTATAAAGATAAATATAATTTATTTTTTTCATACATACAATATGAATGTTAAATTTAAGATCATCAAGAGATGATTAATTTGATATATTATATGTGTAAAACTGATAAAAAATACAAAAGTTATTAACTTTTAAAATACATTACTATTCAACGGTTATAATAAGAAATGATATTAAAATGCAATTAATACATGTAACATGATCATAAATATTCAACATATTTATGAATAATCTGAACCTAATTTTTTTTGGTTTGGAAGTAAATTAAAATCTACCCAAACCTAATAACAATAACGAAGCGTGTAATTTTGCAACATAGAATCTCGAAGCATGCGAACCTGTCACTTAGGCTCAGCACATTCTTAATTAATATAAGAGGGAATTGGAATAGAGTATGGATGGAATTGCTAAATAAATATATTAATTAAATTTTATGAAATTTGAATTTATTCTGTATGACATGAATTTGTCCAACCTGGCAATAATTATTGCAAAGCATATCTGAATTATTGGATTGTAAAGCATATTTAGTTGGGTTTCAAAAGCTGGTTTCATGACTCAAAACTGTATTCTCATTGTTGGCCTATTACTACAAATTGAGTCCTTGTTTATTTGTCTATTTTTTTAGTTGTCTCATCAAGTTTTATAGCAGTCCAAATCTTTTCCAAAGCATTGTCCCTGCAATAATTACAATAAAGGGACCTACAAATTCATTTATTTTTGTTATTTATTATTACCATCATCACCATCATCATCAAAATTCATAAAGATGAATCTATTATTGTACAAAAAAAATATGAATTGGGTTAGTAAAATTGAAAATTTAGTGAAGAGCTTTTAGTTTAATTTGTAGCCATCTCTCCTTTTCTCAAGACAATATGACATAATACAAACATGTGTATTGTATGACACTAATTATTAAGATATTACTTATTTGCCAATATATAGAGAAAATTATTCAAATTGAACAGAAAAATCAAGAATATAGTTATAAACAACAAGGAAATGCAACGGTCCCGTTACGAAACTATTCCGTTGAAGTTTTGCAACCGTTAGATTATCATGTCACCGTCAGGGATAGTTGATTTAATGGTACAAACTCCAACGTAATGGTTCCGTAACGAGACTGTATAGAATCTCCCTAAACACTCATATGTGTTAACATTATTTGATAAAAACGTTAAAATTAAATATTTACCGTGCCGATCGGACCACCAGCAATAAATGTTCGGTTTTATAAATAACTTTGTCTAACAGGCATTCAATAAACCGTGTGGTACGAACACAATCTATTTACTCCCACATATGGTTTTCACTTGTGCTGCTGGTTGTTATGGTAGCAAACTCTTCAGTTGTTAACTATGGTGTATTTCTAGTGATGGGACCAACATGAAGTTATTTTGGGAGAGAGTAAACGGATTTAACCCTTTCGATAAAATCGTGTTCTTATAATAACTCAACCAAGTGATGTAAGTATATAGTTTTGATTTAAGAATTTACTGCACTTTACTAAACATAAATGAAAAAAGAAGATGATAATGAGCTAGGTCGAGCTAGCAAAGCCATATTGTTGGAATATCACTTGTGAGTTGTCCCACATTGATTCTATAGGGAAAATGAGTCTAGTATATAAGCCTAGTATGCTACTCTTCCCATCACCAGTTAGTTTTTGGATGGAACCTCACCTAAGGTACACCTAGGTTTATTCTCTTATGGTGTGTTTCATTTGGTGGGACCGCACCCTCTTCCCCCGATTCTAATACATATTAAAGTCGGGTTGGGGTCGATTTTATTTTATTTTGCTGACCATCATTTTGAATGTCATGACTCTCGAGCGCGCGCTATATGGGAAATAAATTTGGGTATTATTATAGGTGACTCGACCCAGTTGGGCCAAAGGCTACTAGGCTAGGCCACTTTACTCACCCAATCGGATCGCGCCAAATAAACCTAGTTTTTTCATCATTAAAAACATAAACTTAAAAACATATACTTATTTACAATTTTATTAAGTGAATCGCTATTTACCGTCCCCCTTTTACTAGTCATCGCCCCCCTCTTTACGTTTTTGCCCTTCAATCCTTTCTCCACTCTCTCTCCTCTCTCTCTACTCTCTCTTTCTCTCTAAAATTCCCGAGACTTTAACGAGCCATTCGAGTATAAAAATAAATCCGAAAAAATGTCTAAAAAATCCTACGGCCTCGACAAAGCATTCTTCTCTAACAAGGTATTTTTTTTTTTACATTTTATTCGAATTTTAAAAAAAAAAAACTGAAGCCG